AAGGAACTCTCAATATTGAAAACTCCCATTGCAAAAGTAAAGTGCTAATAAATGTATAACGTTTGTTTGCTTTCAAATGTAGATCCATAAAGTGTGAAGTTGGAAAAATAGGACTGAATAGCTTCATATCATAACGATTTTTGATGAATTCACACATAATCTGTGCTTTCATGCATGTGCTGAAAATCCCCAGTTAACTATAACACAAAATAACTTATCTTACCCCACAAATAAAGTAAATAGAAAGACTACGTGTTCTTTCCATTTCACTATGTTCACCAGGTTTCACTATATTGAGGTGCTGTTGTTCACAATGAAAGTAAGAGTTAAAGTGCATTTAAACTGCAGAACATCTCTGCATGTGAGTAAAGTACACTAGTGTAGAGCTGCAGGTCAGTGCAGTATAGTTATCTTAGATTTCAGTCACACAAGAAAGAAAATGCCTCCTTTCAGTTCAGACTCGAGCTGCACAAACTCCTAGAAATGATCTCAAACACAGGAACACACAGCAGAGCTTCACTGTTTAATGCAAGAGTGTGGGATCCACATTAAAATAAATCTTCACCATGCAGTCTACATCCTAGACAGATGCAATTATAACCTATAAATTGAAGGCTATTTGACATTTTTAAAATGATTGGATTGATGCCTCTAATTCGTTGATCGTTAGTTGTTGTTGATCAAGATTAAACGGATGTTGTTGTCATTAAAAAAAACTTATTTTAATGACTCACTTATGCATTAAATAATTAAGATACAAAACAGATTAAGTAAAATATGCTAAATATAATATCGTGCAAATATAAAGTGATAGACTGCGAATAAGACTGCAGTTTCACGTTTTGCATCTGCATAAAGTGAATTATTTTAAACATGCAATGATTCGAAATAAAACCAAACAAGATGTGTAATAAATAAAAATATTTGGACAAAAAATAAGAATGAATGATGCCTGCCTCTTGCACGTCGCACTCAGCAGCATGTGTGCCGAACACAAAAAATATTGCTCTCTGTAGGCTATGCATGCAGCACAGATAGCAACAAGTTATTTGACACACATAAAATATTTGAATTAGATAATATTGACAATGAACATTATATGACATTTAAAGATAGTTTTGGTGATTTGTCCTTCAGTCCTTACCCGCACAGCAAATACAGGCTAAATCTCTGCAATGTTCTCGTTGAGAGTGCAAGTTCTAAAATGTTATTAGAAATAATCCATTTCTAGAATATTATGATACAGTAAGCCTGAAACAGATCACAGCAGTAGAACTACACAGTCTATCAGTCATCAGAGTTGTTGATGAATAGACATAAGTTGGATTTATACAGAAAGTTTAAAAGTTAATTGCATTAATAATTATTATACGACATAACGACATAA